CGAAGTGCTTTGGTATTGACACTTGCCCACCCCAAGAGATGTACCACAAATATGGTGGTCGTCCAGCCCAGAGGCGTAGACTTTTTCGACCACCTGCCCACCCCAAGGAGTGTTCGAAACAAGCGACCTTCGCCCACCCCTTGAACGGGGTGTTCCACAAACGAAGGGCTTTGGTCTTGAAACTTTCCCACCCCAAGGGATGTACCACAAACATGGTGGTCGTCCAGCCCAGAGGCGTGGACTTTTTCGACCACCTGCCCACCCCAAGGAGTGTTCGAAACAAGCGACTTTCGCCCACCCCTTGAACGGGGTGTTCCACAAACGAAGGGCTTTGGTCTTGACACTTGCCCACCCCAAAGGATGTACCACAAACATGATGGTCGTCCAGCCCGGAGGCGTGGACTTTTTCGACCACCCGCCCACCCTAGGGAGTGTTCGAAATAAGCGACCTTCGTCCACCCCTTGAACGGGGTGTTCTACAAACGAAGGGCTTTGGTCTTGACACTTGCCCACCCCAAGGGATGTACCAAAAGCATGGTGGTCATCCAGCCCGGAGGCGTGTACTTTTTCGACCACCTGCCCACCCCAGAAAGTGTTCGAAATAAGCGACCTTCGCCCACCCCTTGAACGGGATGTTCCACAAACGAAGGGCTTTGGTCTTGACACTTGCCCACACCAAGGGATGTACCACAAACATGGTGGTCGTCTAGTCTGGAGGCGTGGACTTTTTCGACCACCTGCCCACCCCAAGGAGTGTTCGAAACAAGCGACCTTCGCCCACCCCTTGAACGGGGTGTTTCACAAAAGAAGGGCTTTGGTCTTGACACTTGCCCACCCCAAGGGATGTACCACAAACATGGTGGTCGTCCAGCCCGGAGTTGTGGACTTTTTCGACCACCTGCCTACCCCAGGGAGTGTTCTAAACAATCGACCTTCGCCCACCCCTTGAACGGGGTTTTCCACAAACGAAGGGCTTTGGTCTTGATACTTGCCCACCCCAAGGGATGTACCACAAACATGGTGGTCGTCCAGCCCGGAGGCGTGGAGTTTTTCAACCACCTGCCCACCCAGGGAGTGTTCGAAACAAGCGACCTTCGCCCACCCCTTGAACGGGGTGTTCCACAAACGAAGGGCTTTGGTCTATTCCCTCGAGCAAGACACGCCCCAGACATCGCCCGCCATTCATGCACACCACAATAAGAATGAATCCAAATTTTCCATAAGCCATTTAGCACAAAATCATGTGTAATGAAAGTATACTAGAAATTCATGAATTATTCAACTTTTCCCAGATAATTAATGTCCACACCATAAGCCATAGATGAGATCTAACGAAGGCATATATTATTGTAGGATAAAGTCATTTGAACAAGTGTTTGGTCATTCTAATAATCCCGAAGAAAGTTTTGACTTGTAAATACATTTGTCTCGATCATTTTGCTCAAGCATAAAAAAAGAAAAATTTCAAACATAATATTTCTTGAGGTTGGCAACATTCCATGACATGGTCAATGATCTTCCTTCTGCATCTTTCAAGGAGTATGCTCCTCCAGCATGAACCTTCTCGACCAGGTATGATCCTTCCCAGTTGGGCTCCAATTTACCCACATGTTTCAGTACATCAACTCTCTTCCAGACCAGATCGCCCACTTGGAATCTGTGGATCTTCACTTTCCTGTCATGGGCTGCCCTCATCCGCTGTTTGTACACCTCAACTCTGGTCGAGGCTTGTTCCCTGAGTTCCTCGATCGTATCTAAGGCAGTCAGCATGAGCTCCTCATTCTGCTCCTGGTTGTAAGTGCTCGATCGTTGGGATTGTAACTCCAGCTCGACTGGCAGAAGTGCCTCCATTCCATATACCAGGCTAAAAGGCGTCTTACCTGTGGTCAACCTCGGAGTGATCCTGTACGCCCAGAGCACAGATGTTAGCTCGTCGACCCACGCCCCCGAGGCTTTCTCAAGTCTTGTTTTCAGCCCATTTAAGATGATCCTGTTGGTCACCTCCACCTGTCTGTTGGCCTGCGGGTGGGCAACGGAAGCAAAATGCTGCTCGATTCCCATCTCCTCGCACCACGCCCTAACCCCCTTGCCGTTTAAATGGGTTCCATTATCAGATATTAGGACTTTGGGGACCCCGAATCGACAGTAGATGTTGTTGTATAGTAATTGGATTACTTTCTCCTCGGTGATCTTGGCTAATGGCTCGGCCTCCACCCACTTCGTGAAGTAATTGACCGTAACGATCAAGAACTTCCGCTGCCCCGTTGCCTGCGGCATTGGCCCCACCAGGTCGATCCCTCACTGCGCGAATGGGATTGGTGCACTCATTGTGGTTATTGTTTCCGCCGGCTGGTGGATGAGTGGGCCGTGTTTCTGGCATTGCAAGAATTTCCTCACCATTTCCTTAGCATCCACCCTCATTGTCAGCCAAAAATATCCTGCTCTTAAGATCTTAGCGACCAGAGCCGCCGCTTTGCTGTGGTCACCGCAACATCCCTCATGCACCTCTATGAGAACATATCGACCTTCTTCCTTAGTTACGCATCTCAGGTGAGGACCCGCATACGATCATTTGTAAAGGATTCCCCCATGCTCGAAAAATCTCCACAACACCTTTATCGTCCCCTCTCGCAACTCTTTCAAAATCGAGGACCTCCAATCCTCTATTTCTTCAATCTCCGCTACCTCGGTTTCGGCCGTGCTCCTCTCCATATGGAGTAAAGTCACGCTTCGACTTTTGCAATCTACCAAGTTCTAAGCGATTTTTTATAACAAGTCGGCTCGACCATTTTCTCCTCGTGGAATCTGCACCAATTCAAAAGTTTGAAATCCTTCTTGCAGCCTTTTCATCTCATCCACATACCGCTGCAGCCTTTTCTCCTTCACCTCGAAATCCTCCTGGAATTGCCCTACCACCAATTGGGAATCTGAGTGGACCTGTATCCTTCGAGCTCCTCCGGCTAGGGCCAACTGCAACCCCTTGATCACCGCCTCATACTCAGCCTCGTTGTTCGACACCCGGAACCCCATCTTGGTGGCAAACTCTAAATAATCTCCTTTGGGCGAAATAAGGACAATGCCTAGTCCTGCCCCATTCCTCGACACCGAGCCATCCGCGAACAATTGCCATACCCCTTCTTCTTGCTCTTCTAATTTCGTTCCCTCTTGGATAAAGTCCGCTAGGACTTGTGCCTTGATCGCTCTCCTCGTCTCATATGTGATGGAATATTCACTGAGCTCGACCTCCCACTTGACCAATCGCCCCGACACCGAGGGTCGACCAAGGGTCTGCTCCATGGGCATGTTCGTCCGCACTCTTACCCTATGGTTAAGGAAATAGGGCCTCAGTTTCCTAACCGTCACGACCACCGTCAATGCGCATTTCTCGATCTCCGAATACCTCTGCTCCGCCCCTTGCATAATTCGACTGACGTAATATATGGGAAATTGGGCGACTCCTTCTTCGCGCAATAGTACAGAACTCACAACCATCTCACCAATGGATATATACAACACTAAATCTTCTCCTTGCACTGGTTTTGCTAATAAGGGTAGAATAGCGAGCAACTCCTGCAACTCCTCGAAAGCCTTATGTGCTTCGACCTCCACTGGAATTTTGAGCTCTTCTTCAATGTTTTGAATAGTGGACCACTTTTCTCCGCGACTTTGGAAATAAACCTGCTCAATCCTGCTATTCGGCCTGTCAGTATTTGTACCTCATTCACGTTCTTTGGTGGCTTCATCTCGATCACGGCCCGAACCTTCTCCGGGTTCACCTCTATTCCTCTTCTCGTCACCATGTACCCCAGGAATTTTCCGGCCTTCACTCCAAAAGAACACTTAGCAGGGTTGAGCTTCATGCCATATCTTCTCAACATTTGGAAAGTCCCCTTCAGGTCTGTTACATGGTTCGCTTCCACCTTACTCTTGACAAGCATGTCGTCGACATACACCTCCATGTTCCTGCCCAACTATTCTTTAAAGATCTTATCGACCAACCTTTGGTAGGTCGCACCCGCGTTCTTCAGGCCAAGTGGCATCACCACATAGCAGTATGCTCCCTTGCTAGTTATGAAGCTCACCCTCTTTCTGTCCTCTCGAGCTAACGGGATTTGATGGTAGCCTTGGGACGCATCCATTAAGCTGAGGAATTCACACCCTGCCGTGGAATCTACCAACTGGTCGATCCTCGGCAGTGGGTAAAGGTCTTTAGGGCATGCCTTGTTTAAGTCTCTAAAATCAATGCACATCCTTCCCTTCCCTTTCGATTTCGCCACCATCACTGTGTTCGACAGCCATTCTGGGAATTGGATCTCCGTAATGTCGCCCGCTTTCATCAACTTCTCCACCTCCTGCTCGATTATCTTGTCCATCTCCGCCTCGTGATGTCTCCTCCTTTGCTTTACCGGTCTCACAGAGAGATTGATGTTTAGCCGGTTCTTGATCACCCTTGCGTCAATTCCCGTCAGCTCCTCAGCAGTATAGGCAAAAATGTCCGCAAACTACCGTATTAGGTCGACCAATCTGGACCTGATCGGCTCCTCCAGCTCCTTCCCGATCCTAAACTTTCGTTCATTACGGCCCTGGACCATCTGAACTTCCTCGACCTCTCCTCCTGGTTGCTATCAATTTTCCCCTTCCCCTTCTCCTGTCTCTCTCTCTCTCCTCCTTCAATCTTGACCCACCTGGTCGACCCGACACTTCCTCATCACCCTTTGGTTTCTTTCTCGCCAACTGCTTATTGTTGTTGATCATCGTCTGGTAGCAGCTCCTTGACGTAAGCTGGTCCCCAGCGACCTCGCCCACATTTTCACCCACCGGATATTTGATCGTCATGTGGTATGTAGACACGACCGCTTGGAATGCGTTCAGCCTGGTCCTTCCCAAAATGACATTGTAGGACGACTCTGCACCCACCACTATGAACCTCACCATGCCCACTTTCCTTGTAACGCGCACTTTCCTTGTATCCCTAGACCCAGCGCCATCGTCAGACTTACTTCGCCCATGGGCATGACCTCGCCACCATCAAAACCGTACAATGCCGTTGCCACCGGCTTCAGCTCCAAATTTATATGCTTGTTGATCTGCGAGAAAAAATCATAGAACATGATATCGACCGAGCTCCCCGTGTCGATGAACACCCTCTTCACATCGAACCCTGCTACCTCTGTCGTGATCACTAGTGCGTCATTGTGGGGTAAGAAAATCCCCTCAGCGTCTTTCGCCCAGAAACTAATCACTAGCATTCGGCCAGTTATCCCGACCTCATCTCTTTTACGTTTAAGGGCTCGTGCATGCTCCTTCCTGGCATTATTCGAATATCCATCGGTCGGTCCTCCCGAAATCATATAAATAGTACCTCTCTTCACTGGGGTTTCTCCTCCCTGTCCTTCTCAACCAGCATTAGCACGTCTCTTCTTCTCTCCCTCACCCCATCGACCACCCTTTTCTCCTCGAGAATCGTCCTCTCCATCATCTTCCCCCTCGCTTCTCGCCATCGAGCCCTCCCGACATCTCCTCTTCTCCCTACCGCGTGGTCGATCGCGGATGATGAATTCCTTCAAGTGCCCCGCTCGTATGAGACGTTCGATTTCGTCCTTCAAATGCCTGCAACCCTCTGTGGTATGCCCATAATCTCGATGAAACCTGCAGTATTTGCTCGATTTGGGTCGCGTTGGCCCCTCAAACCTTGTCGCCGGCCATGTGACCTCTTTATCCCCCAATTTATCCTCGATCGCCACCAGGACCTCTCCTACCTTCGCATTTATCGGCGTGAACGTGTTGTACCTCTGACCATTCGCCAAGAGGGGTCGCCTTTCCCATCGATCCTCTCGCCCAGTACGCCATGGGCCCTGTTTATCTCTTTTGGGCGACAACCTCCTGGTTGGACGTTTCTTTGGGGAAGTCCTCCGAGGCGACTCTCTCCTGGGTGAATTTGGCCTCCTCTTCCTTGGCTCGGGCTTCGCCACTTCCTCGAGCTTAGCAAACTTGGCCTCCGTCTCCTCCAAATTGATGTACTTCTTGCACCTCTTACGCACCTCATCGTTAGTTCGAGCAGGCGTCTTTGCTAACGACGTCCGGTACGGCCCTGGTCGCAGACTTCTAATCAAACCTCCCGCTTTCACTTCGTCGACCACTGTAGGTACTTCAAGGAACATCTGGTTATATCGGGCCACATATTTTCGTAAAGATTCCCTCTCGCCCGGTCGCATATCCATCAAAGTAAGATATGTCTTCTCCTGCGCCACCGCGCTCTAATATTGATTGATAAACTGCCCTGCGAAGTCCTCATAATCTTTAATCGAACCAGGGGCCAGTTGGTGGAACCAGTCGAGCGCACCTCCTCGTAAGGTCGATAGGAACGCCCTGCAGCTGACTGGATCTGAGTATCCGTGCAAAATGGACATATTTTCGAACGCCCTCACATGCCTTGACAGATCGCTCGACCCATCGAAGATCAGATTTATCTCCCTGAAACTTGCAGGCAGCGGTGCAGCCAGAATTTCTCTCGAGAACGGGTGTCCTCGAGCACGTCTATCCGGCCTTCCCTCTACTTTCTCTTGTAGTTGCCGGAGTTGCTCAGCTATCCTCTCCATCGCCCTATCTCTGGGATCTCATCCCCCACCATAGCTCGACACATCTTCTTCCTAAGTTCCTGCCACCGTGGTTGGAGTAGCGGTGGCCTGGGACGTTTGGTAAGTGACCTGCTGCACAGCTTGCGCCGCCGCGTTGGCCATCATTCGCTGCATCTCTTCCCTCGTCATTGTCACCATTTGTTGAGTAGGAAGTGGTGCAGCTCTTTCTTGCTGACCTCCAGTGGGTGGTAACATCGCTTGCGCTCCTGCTCCTCCTTGTTGCGCCACTCCTGGATTTACCTACGACGGCGCGAGGACCGCCACCGGTGTTGGGCCTCGAGCCTCCTGATCTCTGCTCGTGCCCTCTCCTCCACCTGGTATCGTCGCGCCTTGGGGGGCCGGTATTGGGGTCACCGGTGTTTGCAGCAGCGCAGAGAAGCCAGGTGGAGGACCTGCTCCCATCGGTCTGGTTGTCGTCCACGCATCATCGAACGACGACTGCAAGTTCATACGAGGAATTCCGTCCGCCATAGCTAAACACTCAACACAAATTTTCAAACAGAAGTCCCACAGACGGCGCCAATAATACAAGTCTCATACCCCGACCGACTGGAAACCGTCTCATGCTCGTTCTCCTCACCGGTTGAATGCGGAACCTGCACGAAACTCTCACACCGGAGGTGTTTTCCGGTGAAGAGCCTCCAACGCTCAAGTCAGATCTTGAGAGAGATCAGAAAAATATGTATAAGTGTCTTAGAGTATTAGAGAGATTGATTTGAGTGAGAGATCTCGTTCCTATTTATAGGGACGAGCTACCTGCTTACACGCGCCTTCAAGGTGTGTCTCGTGGGTTGTCTTCCCTGCTCATACGTACGATTGCGCGCCTCCACTTACTCTCGGTGTCAGAAACACGTCGAACGTGTCAGAGAATGTCAGAGTTCGTTACCGCCCTGGGCCACTCGTAGAGCACCGCGTGTCCTCCTTTCACGTGCTGGAGATTCTTTCGTATATTCCGATGCTCGACCAAATCTGTAGCGAATGCTGAGCTGTCCCTTGGGTATGAGGTGGTCGAGTATACGACCACGCCCGTCTGACCATCTTTCCTCGACCAACCCCTCGAGCAGCCAGTGCTTGTCTAACACTACTGAACCTGCTCTTCTTCGTCGTCTACCTTCTGCCTTTCATTGCGGGTGTCCGACCCAGTTCGACCAGGCAGCTGATCTATTTTATTAGGCTAGCCCGGCGAACCAGTCTATTATATAATATCTCATATCACAACCACAACACCTTCTGCGACCAGGAGCGAGTTATTTACCGTACCAGCAGCACCTGACCGACCCTAGATATGAGTATAAGTGAGCCGAACCGGGTTGTGACGGTGCGAACCAGTTAGTTCGAGCCAAAGAAAAATGAAAAAGTTTCTAATCCTTAGACTGTCTCGAGAACCCTAGTCGAGCCTAGAAAAGTCAAGAAAAAGAGATAGAATAATTATATGCCTTTATCTAATTTATTTGCAGCATTATGCACTCTTACTTGTCTAATTTTTCCGTGCTTCAAACCTCTTAATAAGTGGAGTCGAGCCCGTACAAAGACGCACGTGCATATGATTCATTCATTCAAGTTCAAGAAGTTAAGTTGGGAAAGTCTAGGCGCATTGTCATCATATCGTATTATCGTAGCGTTGTTATGTTTAAGTTCTTTACAGGTACGAACAATTACAACTCTTCTATGTTTTATTCTTTATAATTATTATGATTATTATGATCTTTGCAGGTTTCATGAATGTTCCGCCTATGAGAAGGCGATGCTGCCTATGAGAAGGCGAAGTATTATGTTTATTGTGTTACAAGCCGTTATCATGTTATCCACTAATTATACGGAGTAACTGCATAGTATAGACTGAAGGTGGGCTAGTTGTTTTGCTCAATCCCCAAAGTTTCTTTTCAAGTTGAGTTGCTGGCAGCGGACACGAGGTGCAGTGGTGGCCAAAGAATGTTTATTATTTATGTTTCTGCAAAGAACATTTTCAAACATGTTTAGTTTTTAATGTTTTTGAAAGTAAGATGATGTTTGAAGTTTGAGATGATTTTCAATTATAGACTAAGTACTCACGCTTTGCTTTTGTCTTAATTGATTCTAAAGAAAGAAAGTTTGGGGATGTGATTCTCTAAGAACCTAAGTGTAAGGCTTAGGTTAAGAAAGAAAGAAAAGAAAGAAAGGAAGAATTTTAGTAAGTACCCAAAGAAAGTTTTTAAAGATAAAATATTTTCGAAAAAGTTCAAAATTCTCTCAAAAAATAAGTGATTTTCCTAAAGATAACAAAGAGGTGCTTACAATTAATATGTAAGTTAAACTAGTACAATACCCGCGTATTACACGGGTGTTTGTTAAGACATTTATATATAAAATAAAATTAATTTTCTAATAAATTGTATTTTTATTATATTTAAAATGATATAGTCACTTATATTACTTACATCTTATATTATAATATTTTATTTTATTTTATAGCATATAACAAATTTGCCGTTAAATTAATTTAAATGATTTTTTCTAATTAATGTTAATATATAATTTAATTATTATTATAAAAATAAATTTCATTATTTATTTATATATACAATACAGATGTCAAATCGAATCTCATCAAAACATGAGTATTTGATATATTATATATGAAAAATTTATAATAAATAAAAAAAATTATTGGCTTTTGACTATATTTATAATTTATGTTAGTAAACTTTTATAATTATAAAACAAAGATGAAGAAAAAAAGAAAGATTGGAGAAAAAAATTATACCTTATAAACCACGTTTAGAATATAAATAATATTAAAACATAATCCAATCCTCTTAAAAATGTCCATAAATCCCCCTATATATAATTCCCGAATGCGCTTAGCCTAAGTGGCTGCTTCTGGTGCTTCGGAATCCTACTTGGCGAAGAATCATGCTTCGTAATTTGGACAAATGATATTGAAATATTAATAATTAATAATCTAGGTTGGGACATTCCATAAATATTATTTAGCTAACTTAGGTATTTTAATATCACTTGTACTAATATAACCCTCTAATTCTTTATAATTTTACATAGTGAGACACTAAGTGACTAATATATCGTTGACTTTTGATTTGATTCCTACAATTAACTATTGAATTGTAAATGCATTTAAAAAGTTAATAACTTTTGTATTTCTTATCGGTTTACGTATATAATATATCAAATAAATCATCTTTTGATGATCTTCGATTTGAGATCCATATTGTATGTATGATATAAATAAATTATATGTATCTTTATAATAATAAAAAATAATAATATTTACTAAAATTCATTAGAAAAATAAAATTAGACAAACGTGACTAGATTGTCGGTCCCGTCTGCTTGATATATCTATGTTTAATGTAATTATATGTTGTAAGTTAAAGAAATTATTATAATATAACACAGGTAAAAGTCGCACAAATAAAAAGTGTCGTAATAAATATATAATAATATATGTATTGTATAAAAGGTATTTAAATTTTCAACTACTTTTTCTCATTAATTTTAGATTTTAAGAAAAGAAATTAACAAGCACCCGTGTAATACACGGGCGTTGTACTAGTATTCAGTATATATATGAATATTCTAAGTCTGGTTATTTTTATATTGGAAATAAATTATAATCATCCAAGCTAAATAACAAAGTGTGAAAATTTGCCATAGAAGTATCCGAAGGATGCGAGCCTGCCATTTAGGCTCAAAACATTTTGAAATTATATATAAGAGGATAGTTTATATTTAAATTATTCATTTTTACCAATTATAAAATTTTAAAAAATGTGATGTACTCATTATATAACTTATAATTTTAAATATTACATAAATACATATATAACGTGTAAAATTTTATTTATATTTTATGTGCACATTATCGAATACTTATAACAATAAAATCTAGTTAGACCATTATATTATTTTCGAACTTTAATATGTATATGGTAGTACTTTCTTCTGCCTTGCTCTTTCTTTCACTTTATTTAGACAAGAAAAATGCTACAAGTACATAATAAATGTACATATAAGTGTACATAATACTCACATGGAGTGAGGTTTATTTGATTTTTTTTTAGTGGGTCTCACTCAAATGTGAGTCAATATTATATACTTATAGCATTGCTCCAGAAGACAATACCCGAATTGACGGACTTGGTATTGGTAGCCTGCCCCGCTTTTGACCGAGCATCCCTCCTTGGACGAGGGTGATGTAATGGAGATCCTCAACCAAAATAAAAGAAGAAAAAAAAAGCCAGTCCCGGGATCTTCCAATTTTGATTAGCACACAGGTGTGACCTTTTAGCCCCATCTTCGTAGCGGGGGCGAGTCGAACCCTTCGATCTCAACAAAAAGATGCTTTCAGCCGCTGGTAATAGTCAAACCTTTTCACTATGCGCTTTTGTTGTATAAGGGCAACGAGGTTTTGGATGAAGGTTGATGATTTATATAGATATACTTTGGTGTTATTCTAGGTCATCATGTGTCAACTGTAGTTCGGACAGAAACATCAGTAAATTTGTTAGCCTAAATGAAGTCAGGTGAAGGATTTCGGTTTATAAATTTGAGTTGGGGACATTGGGGGGGTTGAATATGTTATGCACTACCTTCATATTCGATTTGCCACATGTAACTCCTATTTTTTTCATTTGAATCTTAACACTTTCTTGAGATTCTTGGGACTTGTTAAAGTTTGCCTATCGGTAGGTACTCATGGCTGACTGGGTAATATACAATTTATTGCTTTCCAGTTATGAATTAGACAGTGGATTAACTGAACCAACGAAGTGCGAAGTATGGCCTGATTCGTATATTTACTAAGTGGTTGTTGCACTTTATAAGTTCAGAATAAATTTCTGCATTCTTGATTTCCCTTTTCTCCGTTTTCTCTGTTTCAGTTTAAACATTGTTTGCCAATGCAATATCTCAGATTCTTAGTTCTTAATCGAAAATGCAAGAGAACGAAACCCCAAACCTTTATGTCTTGTTGTAAAACACATCGTCACTTAGTCAGTTATCTGTGTGTACCTTTGTCTTGAAACAAGTGGCACGAGCAAAGCAAATGCATAGTTAGCCGCTTTAGCTAGTATAGTTTGAAGAAATAAGTATTTGAATTTTATGTAGTAATATCCATTTAATGTTACATATTATAATCCGCTGGTCTCTGCCACATTATCGGGTATTACCCGAGAGTAATATAACAACCTTAACATGGATTAAATTGTACCACACTGCATACTTTTATACTTGCCTATAGTTTTTTCGGCTCATGAATTCAATGGACTAAGCTCTATACGTTATCCCTCAGGAACACTTAAATGCATATGCTGCTAACATTACAAAATAATCATCGCTATTGTAAATGGCAACCGAAAGTCCCGTTATGATATCGGGAAGCGCAGACAGATGGCAGGTCCTCAAGAACTCGCCCAGGTACAGACCATCAACTTCCGAGATGGTCATTGAGGGCCTGGATATTTTAACCCTAAAAGATCCAAGGTCTCAGAGCCTCGTAAAGGATATGATGCCTAACCGAAGTGAAAGTGCACCCCCGAGCATGGAAGGTTCTTTGGTGGCAATGGAGAATATTGTTTCCCATCGAAAAATAAATTTCAGCTTTTATCCTGACTCTGCACCTCCAAGCATATATGATGTTTATGGTGAAAATGTGAAGTTATCAAGGAACAAACTTCCTGCTCATGAGGAAGAGCCCGAGGATGATCAATCGTGTTATCACAGCTCTATTGTGCCTGTGGAAAAGTCAGGTTTCTCGGGTTATCACAGTCGTTCATTGGACTCAATGAAGGTGAATTTTTATTTTTATTTTTTATTTTTGTTTCTAGTAGCGTTGGGTGAAGTGGAATGGACTGTAGAATAATATCGAATTTAAAGATTCTGGACTTTATGATCAGCATTTTGCTTTTCCGTTTTCTCTCAGTTTACATTCAATTGAAGAAGGAATTATTGCGCTTCGACATGCATTCCGCTGACAACCCTGTCTGCCTCTCCAGTTAGATGTATAATTTAAAGGAATATTCAGCCTGACTTCTCGACGTTGTTGCTCAGTAGCATAGCAATTTTTTACCAACGGTGTCAATAAATTAATGTAATAATAATATTTCAGATACGAACATAATCTTATATGCATATGGTTTTGATACTCCAAAAGAGCACTATAATTGATGTCTTGTTAATTTTATCCTTTTGTTTGAGGTATTCGGAATTCAATATTAGGTGAAACTAAAATGATAATATGGCCCCTTCAATTTATTTAGTGGGTTTAGTTTTATATTTACGCAAAGAAGTATCCGTGTAAAGAAATTTTAAATCTTGTAAGGTGGCTAATTCTGCTATTGCTTTTTGTCCGAGTTGAAGTTATTATTTTGAAACCTTAACAATTAAGCTGCACATTCTTTATGATTGTCAATTCTGAACTAAAAAGCATCACATTGTAGGACACAACCCAGAGGACATCACCAGTGGGGCTACCTGTACACCAAAGAGATCCTGACTACAGTCCCTCAACTGGAGGTGCTGGTAATGTAGATTCTGCTCATACCCAGCCTACAACGAGTGCCAATGCATGTAGTGATTCAAATTTAAACTCCCAAAACCTTCATACCAAAGAGCTACTTGCCCAGAAAAATAATGAGCTGCACCAACGAGCTCCACCACAAGATTTCAGTACTTCTCGAGTTCAAGATTCTTCCTCTCAGATCATTTATCCAGCAATAACCGATGCGTACAGTAGCTCAAACCAGCTCCATCATATTCCTTCAAACATTTCAATGCCTTATTTGACTCCACACAGCCCGCTTTACCATAATGTTCCGCAAACTGGCTTCTTTGTTCTACAATATGGCTCCGGTGGATACAATTTGAACTCGACCATTTTTCCCTCGTATTTAGCCGGATATCCACACCAGGGTGGTGCTTTCCCTGTTGCATTCAATGGTGCACCTTTTTATGGTCGGGTAGGAGTTCCTTTACAGCCTCCATTTCATGTGCAGTACTTCCAACCTCCTTTACGAGATCCCTATGGCTCGTATAGTCATTTCCATTATCAAGCACCAAGAGATGGTGCGAATCAAATGGGCTGTTATGACCCGAAAAAGGAATCTCAGCAGTTGTCTGGCTCGGGCTACTATGGAAGAGGGAATGCTTCTGGTCACTACTATGGAAGCCCGACTCATGTTGGCCCTTTAGGTCAGTTTCCTGATGCATCTGTTGTTCATCCAGCCGTGCAACCTAAAATGGCAGCAGTAGCTAACACGAGTCTTTCTCACTCTTCTGGTGGTAACCCCAGTAAAATTAGTGGTCAAAGTCAGACCTGGAAAGATGCGAAATTGAATTATTTTCTTGAAGAGCTGAAATCTGGTACCTGCCAAAAATTGGAGCTGTCTGATATAAAAGGATATATTGTTGAATTCAGGTTAAGTTTTTTCGCCTTAGCTAACCAATATTTACTTCTACAAAAAAAAA